CAAGAGAGAGAAAAAGATTGAAATATAGAGTATGATCAAGAGAGAGAAAAAGAGATTGAAATATAGAGCATGATCAAAAGAGAGAAAAAGAGATTGAAATATACAGCATGATCAAGAGAGAGAAAAAGAGATTGAAATATAGAGCATGATCAAGAGAGAGAAAAAAGATTTATAAATATCAAAAGAGAGAAAAAAAGATTGAAATATCAAGAGAGAGAAAAAGAGATTGAAATATAGAGCATGATCAAGAGAGAGAAAAAGAGATTGAAATATAGAGCATGATCAAGAGAGAAAAAGAGATTGAAATATAGAGCATGATCAAGAGAGAGAAAAAGAGATTGAAATATAGAGCATGATCAAGAGAGAAAAGAGATTGAAATATAGAGCATGATCAAGAGAGAGAAAAGAGATTGAAATATAGAGCATGATCAAAGAGAGAGAAAAAAAAATATAGAGCATGATCAAGAGAGAGATAAAAGAGATTGAAATATAGAGCATGATCAAAAGAGAGAAAAAGAGATTGAAATATAGAGCATGATCAAGAGAGAGAAAAGAGATTGAAATATAGAGCATGATCAAGAGAGAGAAAAAGAGATTGAAATATAGAGCATGATCAAGAGAGAGAAAAAGAGATTGAAATATAGAGCATGATCAAGAGAGAGAAAAAGAGATTGAAATATAGAGCATGATCAAAAGAGAGAAAAAGAGATTGAAATATAGAGCATGATCAAAAGAGAGAAAAGAGATTGAAATATAGAGCATGATCAAAAGAGAAAAAGAGATTGAAATATAGAGCATGATTGAGAAAAGAGATTGAAATATAGAGCATGATCAAGAGAGAGAAAAAAGAGATTGAAATATAGAGCATGATCAAAAGAGAGAAAAGAGATTGAAATATAGAGCATGATCAAGAGAGAGAAAAGAGATTGAAATATAGAGCATGATCAAAAGAGAGAAAAAAAGATTGAAATATAGAGCATGATCAAGAGAGAAAAAGAGATTGAAATATAGAGCATGATCAAGAGAGAAAAAGATTGAAAAGAGATTGAAATATAGAGCATGATCAAGAGAGAAAAGAGATTGAAATATAGAAATGATCAAGAGAGAGAAAAAAAATATAGATCAAAGAGAGAAAAGAGATTGAAACATAGAGCATGATCAAAGAGAGAAAAAAGATTGAAATATAGAGCATGATCAAGAGAGAGAAAAAGAGATTGAAATATAGAGAAAAAGAGATCAAGAGAGCATGAAAAGAGAAAAAAGAGATTGAAATATAGAGCATGATCAAGAGAGAAAAAGAGATTGAAATAAAGAGCATGATCAAAAGAGAGAAAAAGAGATTGAAATATAGAGCATGATCAAGAGAGAGAAAAAAAGATTGAAATAGAGCATGATCAAGAGAGAGAAAAGAGATTGAAATATAGAGCATGATCAAGAGAGAGAAAAGAGAGAAAAGAGATTGAAATATAGAGCATGATCAAGAGAGAGAAAAAGAGATTGAAATATAGAGAGCATGATCAAAAGAGAGAAAGAGAAAAAGAGATTGAAAGAGAGAGCAAAGATTGAAATAGAGAGATCAAAAAGAGATTGAAATATACAGCATGATCAAGAGAGAGAAAAAGAGATTGAAATATAGAGCATGATCAAGAGAGAGAAAAGAGATTGAAATATAGAGCATGATCAAGAGAGAGAAAAAGAGATTGAAATATAGAGCATGATCAAGAGAGAGAAAAAGAGATTGAAATATAGAGCATGATCAAGAGAGAGAAAAGAGATTGAAATATAGAGCATGATCAAGAGAGAGAAAAAGAGATTGAAATATAGAGCATGATCAAGAGAGAGAAAAAGAGATTGAAATATAGAGCATGATCAAAAGAGAGAAAAAGAGATTGAAATATACAGCATGATCAAGAGAGAGAAAAAGAGATTGAAATATAGAGCATGATCAAGAGAGAAAAGAGATTGAAATATAGAGCATGATCAAGAGAGAGAAAAGAGATTGAAATATAGAGCATGATCAAGAGAAAAGAGATTGAGAGAAAAAAAGAAAAAGATTGAAATATAGAGCATGATCAAAAGAGAGAAAAAGAGATTGAAATATAGAGCATGATCAAAAGAGAAAAAGAGATTGAAATATAGAGCATGATCAAAAGAGAGAAAAGAGATTGAAATATAGAGCATGATCAAAGAGAGAGAAAAGAGATTGAAATATAGAGCATGATCAAGAGAGAAAAAGAGATTGAAATATAGAGCATGATCAAGAGAGAGAAAAGAGATTGAAATATAGAGCATGATCAAGAGAGAAAAAGAGATTGAAATATAGAGCATGATCAAGAGAGAGAAAAGAGATTGAAATATAGAGCATGATCAAGAGAGAGAAAAGAGATTGAAATATAGAGCATGATCAAAAGAGAGAAAAGAGATTGAAATATAGAGCATGATCAAAAGAGAAAAAAGAGATTGAAATATAGAGCATGATCAAAAGAGAGAAAAGAGATTGAAATATAGAGCATGATCAAAAAAAAAGATTGAAAAAAGAGATTGAAATATAGAAAGAGATTGAAATATAAATCAAGAGAGAAAAGAGATTGAAATATAGAGCATGATCAAAAGAGAAAAGAGATTGAAATATAGAGCATGATCAAAAGAGAGAAAAAGATTGAAATATAGAGCATGATCAAGAAAAAAGAGATTGAAATATAGAGCATGATCAAGAGAGAGAAAAGAGATTGAAATATAGAGCATGATCCAAAGAGAGAAAAAGAGATTGAAATATACAGCATGATCAAGATAGAGAAAAAAGAGATTGAAATATAGAACATGATCAAAAGAGAGAAAAAGATTGAAATATAGAGCATGATCAAAAGAGAGAAAAGAGATTGAAATATAGAGTATGATCAAGAGAGAGAAAAAAGAGATTGAAAGATAGAGCATGATCAAAAGAGAGAAAAAGAGATTGAAATATACAGCATGATCAAGATAGAGAAAAAATATAGAGATTGAAATATAGAGCATGATCAAAAAGAGAGAAAAAGAGATTGAAATATCCAGCATGATCAAAAGAGAGAAAAAGTGATTGAAATATAGAGCATGATCAAGAGAGAGAAAAAGAGAGTGAAATATAGAGCATGATCAAAAGAGAGAAAAAAAGATTGTAATATACAGCATGATCAAAAGAGAGAAAAAAGAGATGAAATATAGAGCATGATCAAAAGAGAAAAAGAGATTGAAATATAGAGCATGATCAAGAGACATGATCAAGAAGAAAAAAGTGATTGAAATATAGAGTATGAACAAGAGAGAGAAAAGAGATTGAAATATACAGCATGATCAAGAGAGAGAAAAAGAGATTGAAATATAGAGTATGATCAAGAGAGAAAAAATAGATTGAAATATACAGCATGATCAAGAGAGAGAAAAGAGATTGAATTATAGAGCATGATCAAGAGAGAAAAGAGATTGAAATATACAGCATGATCAAGAGAGAGAAAAAGAGATGATGAAAAAGAGATTGAAATATTGAGCATGATCAAAAAGAGAGAAAAGAGATTGAAAATAGAGCATGATCAAAAGAGAAAAAAGACATTGAAATATAGAGTATGATCAAGAGAGAGAAAAAAAGATTGAAATATAGAGCATGATCAAAAGAGAGAAAAAGAGATTGAATATAGAGTGTGGAATAATGTATTATTCCATCTACGACATTTTACGCGCGCGCGAGTTTCCTCCCTTTCTTTTACACTCGCGGGCGCGCGCGCGTTTGACACCCCTTTCTCCCTCGTTCGGTCTAATACAGTAGTAACTGTTTTTGTTCACCAACCAAGCGACCTGTTATGCAAATTAGATTTTTGAAATCTTCCCGCGAAAAATTTGTGACGTCAACGACAAACTGTTGTTTCAAAAAAGTTAGTTGTGTTCCAGACTCTGACCTGGGCACACTCATTTTTATCCATGTCAATATTTCTGGTTGACTGGCGAAGGAAATAATACTATGCGACCGCAAATAATTTTTTCCTCGTCCCTTTTGGCTCGTCATTCATAATCATTTTTCCGAGACGATGCAAATACCAAATAATTAATTCTTCGTTCCTTTTGGCTGGTATTCAAGAACCCTTTTCCGAGACGATGCAATACCAGATAATTTTTTTTCCTCGTCACTTTTGGCTCGTCATTCGGAATTTCTTCTACAAGACTATGAGAACACCAGATAATTAATTCCTCGTCCCTTTTTGGCTCGTCATTCAAAGACCTCCTCCGAGATGATGCAAAACATCCAAAATATTAATTCCTCGGCCCTTTGAGACTAGTCATTCAAAGTCCTACTCCGAGACGATGCAGAACATACAAAATGACAATCCGTCGTCCACTTTGGGTCTCGTCAGAAATCTGTTTTGAACCAGTACAAAAAAAGGAAGAAAAAAAAATATGTACATAACAATAACATTCACTCACATTACCTAAAAACTCGCAGTGAGTATTTTTCCTTGTATGAATATTATCATGTACATTGACTTATCTGGTATCTCCTTCTTCTTCAAGAAATTTCCCGCCTTTAGCCATCTTGCTTCTACTTTTGGCGCGGAACTTATTCATCGACCCCTACTACGGGACAATTTACTTGTTTTCCTGCATTTAATAAAAATTACTCTTGTTGAAACCCAGTCTTTTTCAGTCATTCCGAGGAGGCTATCTTGTTAATATATTTTAATCATGCACGTGTGGATTAACCACATTTCTTCGTTGTTCATTTACGCACATTTGATCTTTTTACTTTGCTTGTAGACTCGGTAGTTTAGTGTGGTGTCTGGCACAAGGCCACTTAGTAATAAACCAGCACTGCACCCTACCGGGCCTGCAACAAGATTGGTGACCTTACGACGTGATACGAACACGTAATAATTTTGCAACCTTGCCAACATATTTCTGAGCAAGCTTAAATATAAACGTGCATAAATTCGATAGCCGGAATGACGTCTAGTGACTCTGAAGAGTCGGCGAACATGTCCGCCGCCGTCGCTCCTTTTCCCCCCTTTCATGAAGGGAATATAAAGAACTGGTTCCTGCAAATGGAAGCTATCTTTACAGTCAGAAGGATTACTGACCAAAAGACTAAGTTTGGCCACGTGGTGGCGGTTTTGCCACCCGCCATTGTTGATGAGGTCTCAGACTTCCTAGAAGCCGTTCCTGAAGTAGAACCCTACGCCCGGTTAAAAGAAGCGATCTTAAGGAGAATGGGCCGTACGGAGGAATCATTAATCCGGGAACTATTTAGCAACCTAACTTGCGATGGCAGGACTCCCTCCCAACTCCTTCGTTATATGAAAAGCCGACTCGGCAAAAATACCATGGCTGACTCTATATTAAAAAGCTTGTGGCTGGACCGTCTCCCCACCACCATTACCCAAATTTTGGCGTCAATGTCCGAAAACACCTCGATCGATCAATTAGCGGACGCCGCTGATCGTATTTTCTCGCAACTGGATAATCAGACAATGCCAGTACACAGTGCTGAAGCGACTAGGGACCACAGCTCCTTGGAAAAAACAGTCGAGGATTTGCAGCGCCAAGTTAAAGATTTAACATTAGCTCTAAAAAGCCAGGGTCGAAGCCGGTTCCCTTCCCGCCGGCGCTTCAGAAGTCGACCACGCTCGTCAAGTCGGAACAAGGATGCCACTCCTACTATGTGTTACTACCACCGACGATTTGGGTCTGCAGCACACCACTGCACCAAGCCGTGTTCCTATACTGCGGTCGCGGGAAAACAAAACTGCCAGCGAGTGAAAGCGACTAATCCCGCTGGCAAGGCATTTTCACCAAAACTTAGTCGCCTCTTCTATGTGACGGATACACGTAATAATTTACGTTTTTTGGTTGACACCGGCGCTGAGAGAGAAAAGGAGATTGAAATATACAGCATGATCAAGAGAGAGAAAAAGAGATTGAAATATACAGCATGATCAAGAGAGAGAAAAAGAGATTGAAATATACAGCATGATCAAGAGAGAGAAAAAGAGAGTGAAAAATAGAGTATGATCAAGAGAGAGAAAAAGAGATTGAAATATACAGCATGATAAAGAGAGAGAAAAAGTGATTAAATTATAGAGCATGATCAAGAGAGAGAAAAAGAGATTGAAATATACAGCATGATCAAGAGAGAGAAAAAGAGATTGAAATATAGAGCATGATCAAAAGAGAGTAAAAGAGATTGTAATATACAGCATGATCAAAAGAGAGAAAAAGAGATTGAAATATAGAGCATGATCAAAAGAGAGTAAAAGAGATTGTAATATACAGCATGATCAAAAGAGAGAAAAAGAGATTGAAATATAGAGCATGATCAAGAGAGAGAAAAAGAGATTGTAATATAGAGCATGATCAAGAGAGAGAAAAAGAGATTGTAATATACAGCATGATCAAGAGAGAGAAAAAGAGATTTAAATATAGAGCATGATCAAAAGAGAGAAAAAGAGATTGTAATATACAGCATGATCAAAAGAGAGAAAAAGTGATTGAAATATAGAGTATGATCAAGAGAGAGAAAAAGAGATTGAAATATAGAGCATGATCAAGAAAGAGAAAAAGAGATTGAAATATAGAGCATGATCAAGAGAGAAAAAGAGATTGAAATATAGAGCATGATCAAGAGAGAAAAAGAGATTGAAATATAGAGCATGATCAAGAGAGAGAAAAAGAGTTTGAAATATAGAGCATGATCAAGAGAGAGAGAAAGAGATTGAAATATAGAGCATGATCAAAAAGAGATTGAAATATAAACATGATCAAGAGAGAGCAAAAGGTATTGAAATATAGAGCATGATCAAGAGAGAAAAAGAGATTGAAATATAGAGCATGATCAAGAGAGAGAAAAAGAGATTGAAATATAGAACATGATCAAGAGAGAGAAAAAGAGATTGAAATATAGAGCATGATCAAAAGAGAGAAAAAGAGATTGAAATATAGAGTATGATCAAAAGAGAGAAAAAGAGAGTGAAATATAGCGTATGATCAAAAGAGAAAAAGTGATTGAAATATAGAACATGATCAAAAGAGAGAAAAAGAGATTGAAATATAGAGCAGGATCGAGAGAGAGAAAAAGAGATTGAAATATAGAGCATGATCGAGAGAGAGGAAAAGAGATTGAAATATAGAGCATGATCGAGAGAGAGGAAAAGAGATTGAAATATAGAGCATGATCGAGAGAGAGGAAAAGAGATTGAAATATAGAGCATGATCGAGAGAGAGGAAAAGAGATTGAAATATAGAGCATGATCGAGAGAGAGGAAAAGAGATTGAAATATAGAGCATGATCGAGAGAGAGGAAAAGAGATTGAAATATAGAGCATGATCGAGAGAGAGGAAAAGAGATTGAAATATAGAGCATGATCGAGAGAGAGAAAAGAGATTGAAATATAGAGCATGATCGAGAGAGAGGAAAAGAGATTGAAATATAGAGCATGATCGAGAGAGAGGAAAAGAGATTGAAATATAGAGCTAGATAGATAGATAGATCTGATTGAATTCTTGCAAATGTCGCTCATGCGGATAAATGGTAAAATGAAATCGGAGAGTCAAGTTTAAGTTCCGTTGTCGTCCCAATGCCTTCAAGAAATATGAATTCGTTTCTTTTGCCTCTAGCTCCGGATTAAATAGAAAGATAGACTTCGTTCTCGAGCCTTAGCTAACAGCCAATCTACAACACTATATGGGTTCTTCTACAAAATAGATGACCACAGATTGATAACTGATCTCACCTCTGAGCCAGCTTTAACATCTCAGTGGTGGGGTAGTTAGTTGCATTCCATCATCGTTGATCGGAACATGAACTATCAACAATCACGATGAATGTATGCTTCCTCGGGGAGGCTCCGTGCTTTGAGCGCTTATTGAGCCTCAAATTCAACCCCGACTCGTACACAGAATCCATCGCTAAAGATGCTGGAAATTTGATCGGTTCCCTGTACTGCTCCTGTACCTGACTCCTCCTGCTATGCCCTACATTGACAAGTGCCACGTCAGGTCTAGAATAGGGTACTACTACCATATAACGGCAGCAGCTGCCCAGTCTTCATTTTCCATTTTCGATAGATTCCTAAAGTGCCCCCGCGTCCTTGTGGGTGATGAATCCTTTTCCACCTTACAATCGCTTTCTCACAGATGAAACATCGCAAGCCTCTCAAAGATCTATCGCTATTTCCATGGAAAGTGTTCAGACGAACTACATACTTTAGTTTCACCAGATCTAACCATCAGGGCGAAAACACGTCACACCACGCCCATTGCCGCGAACCACCCTCATTTCCCTTCGTATAACATTTATGAAGCGTACGCTTCTCCCAGCAAACCTCTGCTCTGGCATTTTGTAAGAACCGAACGCCGAGAACTTTTGCACATGTGTATCTCACAAGGTCTTCAAACGAACATCCTCTGGTTTTCCTTCTCTTAGACGGGTTGCCAACCAAAGCTAAAGAGGCCAGTTTACCCTTCGTCTCCCGACCCCTATAGCCTAGAGGGATACGATGAGATGCATCCCTGCCTTTCCCAAAGGCATTGCGCTTAAATGTATGTAACAAACTAGACAGGAATTCGAACTCGGCTCTCCGAATTCTGATACCAACACGCTATCCATCACACCACCCGCACATCCGCATATATATATATATATATGTGTGTGTGTGTGTGTGTGTGTGTGTGTGTGTCGTGACAGATGGAGAAATAGACGTTATATTACAAAACCATTATTTTTGTCTCAGACAGAAGATATCAACCAATCCCACACATTTTTTTTTAGAGCCTACACTTTGTAACTTTCTCTGTATCGGTTACATTGCTGTGCATTTTGTACTCACCGCCCTCCCCGGCCTCACAAGCGGTATTCTTCGCTAACATGCCAACCGACTTGTGTTATCGTCATTAAACTAATACTTTTCTGCCTGAAAAGAGCCACCATCGTTCAATATGATGCCGCAGCGTACCGGTTAGAATAATTGCCGACGGGAGCCGGTGGCAAGTAAATAACGTTCTGGTGGGAGTCTAAGATATAACATCAGTTCATAATATCATACAAATAAACATATTTTTGCTATTAATGTACTTAAGGTAATTAGTTAATTAATTAATCTGTGTAAAATCCATGAACCAGGTAACCAACTCAGACTTATTATATCACTAGTCACAAAACCTATACAACAATTACCTAGAAATTTAAATCAGTTAATCATGTCTTATTTACCAATCAAATATGGTAGTGTTCTACTACAACTCCTTACAACCCCTCTGCTTTTATAGAATTATTATTATTATTATTATTATTATTATTATTATTTATGCCGTGGCGTTCAGGGTTGGCGATAAATGGTTCTCCACAATTTCCTATCCTTTGTAGCTCTTAATCAATTTTGTCTTTTTATTATCTATCCAAAACATTGTACCGCCATCCATTCAGTCAAGTTTCTTCTTCTTCTTCTTCTTCTTCTTCTTCTTCTTCTTCTTCTTCTTCTTCTTCTTCTCTGTGCCGTGTCCCTTAAGGACGTTGACTGTCATGACTCTCCACAGTTTCCTGTCATTTGTAGCGCTTAATAAATGTTGTCTTTTTGTTATCTGTCCTTGTTCTGTCATTTATTTACTCAAACTCATTCTTCTTCTTCTTTGTATCGTGTCCCTTCAGGACGTGGGTGATCAGGGCTCTCCTCAACTTTCTCTCTTTGTCGCATTTAATAAAATTTCTCCTTTTGTTGTCTCTCCTAAACCTTTTTCCGCCATCCATTTACTCAAGCTCACTATGTTATGCGTTTTTTTCCTCTGTCCCTCTTGCCTTCAATTTGTCCTGTGAGTATCAAATTTCCCAAGCCCTCTTTCCTCCTTATGTTCCCTGGAAATTTCAACAGCCTCTTCCTGACATTAAGTATCAGTTCTCTTTTTGCTTCCATTTTCTCTAAAGCTTCGTCGTTATTCATATGTCCCGTCTATAGTGTTCTCAGTCTCCTTCTGTAGAACCACATCTCTGCTGTTTCAAATCTCATCTTCATCTGTAAGAGAAATTATCCAACATTCGACGCCATATAAGATGGCTGATATTTATATAACAATCCAGCATTCTATTTCTTGTTTGTAACGAAATTTTATGTTTCTTTATCCTTTACTTAGCTTTTGAAAGGCATCTTTCGTTATCCCAATGCGGCTTAGGACTGTTTCTTTATTATTTGTGAATTAACATGTTTTATGTGGAAAAGAACATTTTTCCGCCACCTTCTCCACAGTTTAGAATTCAGAATTTTCTTCTCTGAGACTGGTTGCCATCCAAGGTCAGTCTAGAAGAAGAAGAAGAAGAAGAAGAACAACAACAACAACAAGGACAGGAAATTGTGGAGAGCCATGATCACCTACGTCCTGAAAGGACATGACAGTTTGTTACTGGCTGCTATCAAAGGCCAATCTAGCCTGTTATTTAACAAAAAAAGCTGGAAGAAGAAGAAGAAGAAGAAGAACAACAACAACAACAACAACAACAACAATAAATAAATAATGTCAATAAGGATAACTTTTCGTTCATTTATTGTATACTAGAATTTTTTTGGAACTCACTGAAAATCCTGACATTATTTGAAATCCTCACAGTATTTCGCATCGTTGAAGTTATCGCTTTTTTTGTCGAGATTTACAAACTTTATCTTTCGTTCAAATTTGCAAACCAATCGATGAAATTTGAATAAAGCTGATTTGTTTGGAAAAATACTTTAACAAAAAACCCTACTTCACTGTTTAATAATTTCTTTAATTTAATTTTACAGAAATTCATGGTAAACAATATTTTTTTAAGAAAATTTCTTTTTTTCCTTTTTTAACAGTGAAGAATAAAATAGGATTTCTTACTCTGAAGAAGGCTAAAGCATACAACGGTCGAATCATTATGAATATGACAATAAAATGATGACAAGTTCGAACAATGTAAATAGTTTAAAAACTTTTCTGGTTTCTTTTTACTCTGCTTAGCTTTTGAAAGGCACCTTTCGCTATCCCAGTGTACCTTCGGATTTTGGTGTAGCAATTTCCATCTTCTGTTAAAACATTTTGAGCTGTTCTTTTTACTAAAAACCATCCATTTGGCCTACTTACAATTGACGTTTCATCCTTTCTCCGCGGTTTTCTTCACTACCTTCTTTAGGAGTTCTTGTAATTTCCTTTCTATGTCTACTATCAACACTGTGTCATCTTCTCATCGGCATATCTTACGTTGGTAAGACTTTGGCCACCGATTATGAATCCTCGTAGGACTTCTAATTCTCTCAGAATCGCCTCACTGTATCGATTAAATAAGTCCGGTGAGAAGACACATCCTTGTCTTACGCCCCTTTCTATTTTTGTATATTTACTGAATTCATTTTCTAGGACTGTGCAGCCGGTTTGCTGCCAATCTGAATCATTCTAATATCCTTCCCAAATATATAAAGTCGCTGAGTACTACCAACGCACCACCCGATAGGGGAGACCTGATTGGGGGCCCCGGGCAGTGCTTTGTGGCTCTCGCTATCTTATCAATATTTGCTTTTGTATGCATAGATTTAGAAACGTTGCAGAAAAACTATTAAAAGGATAAAAAAAATCATCGCCGATTTTGACGTCATTATGGGGTTTGTTTTGTCCAAATCTATGAATTTGTTTTGCTCATGCCAAGTCTCGAAAAATACTTCACCCTTATGCAAATTAAGTGAAACAACAGCTTTTAGTCTCCTTTCTTTCAACATATGGTCAGTTTTAGACCCACTGGAGTGACAAGGTGTAAACAATTTCTATTTTTCCCTCAGATTAAGGTCATTTGCAATGGTGTGCAGTAACATGAATCTGTTTTCGGAGTGTATGATGTATGTTTAGCCTTGAAAAATATTGTGTCATCCTTGATTGCAGCATATTTTTATCACGCCCAGACACTATTGTCTCGACTGTCGATTAGTTGTCCCACTGCCATTGTGTGCGATGGACGTTACCCCAAGGAAGCGTACGAAAATTGTAACGTTGCCCGAACACACTGGCAAGCCTTACCAGTGAGCAAATCAAAGTACTATAGACTGGCCCGGAAACTCTCCTGATTTAAATCCAATCGAGTATCTATGGTCAATCTGTAACGATCAACTTACGAACGACGTACTAACATGTGCAACGGGTCATGTTTCATTAGAAAAATACAAATTATAACGGAATTATTCTATTTACCTAACTTCCTAGCTAGCTGTCACAAAAATACTATATATCTATCCAAGTGTGTGTTTATATATATATATATATATATATATATATATATATATATATATATATATATAAATGACAATAGGAAAACTGTAGTTATTGCTGACGCATTTCGTCCAATCTACAGTTTTCCTGTTGTCATTTATATTTATAAATATTGTCTTTTCTACAGGTTAACTCTGAGAAATTTTCATATATATATGCGTGTGTTTGTGTATATATATATATATATATATATATATACGAACACACTGGCAAGCTTTACCAGTGAGCAAATCGAAGTATTAGACTGGCCTAGAAACTCTCTTTATTTAAATCCAATCAAGAATTTGTGATTAATCTGCAAGAAATGACTTTGTGGAATGAACATACGAAGTACAATCATGTGCACTGGGTCATGTTTCATTGGAAAAATACCAAAAACTATAAATAATAACGTAATTATTTATTTTGTTACAATTAAGTTGCACAAGGTCGTACATAAAATTCACTATTTTTTTTATCCATAACGTGTTAAATTTATTTGACTTTTTAACAAGAAAAATCTCAAGTTGATGTTAAAAATTGCCACAAAACATTTTTGATTTATTTAAGATGATCTATTATGACATGTCTCTGATTTGTATTTAGATACATTGTAACTATTTTCAATTTTTATGGTTGCACTCTTCACCTATATTATCACAACCGCTTCTATCTATCTATCTAAATCTGTTCTTTATCTATCTATCTATTTATCTATCTATCTGTCTGTCTGTCTATCTATCTATCTTAGATTGCTCATATCTATTTATCTATCTATCTATCTATCTTATTTTGCTCATATCTATCAATCTATCTATCTATCTATCTATCTTAGATTGCTCATATCTATCTATCTATCTATCTTAGATTGCTCATATCTATCTATCTATCTATCTTAGTTTGCTCATATCTATCTATCTATCTATCTATCTATCTATCTTAGTTTGCTCATATCTATCTATCTATCTATCTATCTATCTTATTTTGCTCATATCTATCTATCTATCTATCTATCTGTCTATCTATCTATCTATCTTAGTTTGCTCATATCTATCTATCTTAGTTTGCTCATATCTATCTATCTTAGATTGTTCATATCTATCTATCTATCTATCTATCTATCTATCTATCTATCTATCTATCTTATTTTGCTCATATCTATCTATATATCTATCTATCTTTCTTAGATTGCTCATATCTATCTATCTATCTATCTATCTATGTGTCTGTCCGCCTGTCTGTCTTAATATCAACATCTGTTTAGAATGCTTGATATGTACAATGAAATTGAAGATGAATAACACATAGGGGGAAACACACACATTAAAAATAGTAAACTAACCTCCGCGCTTTTTTAGTTTGGCTAAAGGTCATATTCGATGAGCACCAAGCGTTAAAAAAGGCTAAAAGCATCAGGTGGGATTAAAACGCAAAAAGAAAAGAAGAAAAAAAAGAAGAAAAAAAAGGAATAGGAAGAAACTGTCTGGCACCCGAATCTTTCTGATTCTGTCAAAGAAACAGACGAAGCGAGCAGCCCAAATCGTCTCTCAGAAACCAAACCGAGCATTGTACGAATAAATCGAGACGTGAGAACGTCAGTGGATGGAAGATATTTTCGGTTAGACTTCCACGCATTGGGACATTCTCAGACAGACAGGCAGACAGGCAGAGAGGCAGACAATTTAAGTGCACACGCCTAAGGTATTGCGAAGAGGATAACAGCGAAGAGGATAACAGCGAAGAGACACAGGAACGTGACAGGTAACATTCCATCATTCTTAATATTAAACGCCACCCCTCCCCACAGCAACACGCACACGCATGCTCTATATCCTCTATGTACTTATATATATATATATATATATATATATATATATATATATATATATATATATATATATTATTAACACCAGCACATTATGTGCAATTCATATATATATATATAGAGTGAGAGAGATAGAGAGATAGATAGATAAGTTTTTGTTGTACAAAACTTGATAATAACAAGAAACAAGCGTAATTTAAAAATCTGTAAATTTAATAGCTAAAAGCAACCGGTTTCGTTCCAGTCTTATCAAGTTTTATTCTGGGAAATAAACGAATAAACGTGTAAATTAATTAAGGATAAGTAATGAGGGAATGAATATATATATATATATATATATATATATATATATATATATATATATATATATATATATATATATAATTGTAGCTTCTGTCTATCTGTTTGCTTGTTATGAATCTCCTCCTAGGGTTTTGGAGCTAGACCCCCATAACCATATATATTCTGAAACTAAATTACCCAGCATACTTGGATAGGTATATTTCATTTTGATCAAAGGGGGTTTCCGGGTAAGAGCATAAATCCCATCACTGATTTTCCACCTTTGATTTAAATTAAATTTAAATTTGAACAAGGGAATAACTCCTAGGGTACTTGAATAGTATATTTCATTTTGATCAAAAGGGTTCCCCGGTTGGCACAAACCCTCAACTGTTTTTTATTCCTTTGATTTAAATTAAATTTAAATTTGAACAAGGGAATAACTCTTAGCGTACTTGAATAAGTATATTTCATTTTGATCAAAAGGGGGTCCTCGGGGGTCACCCCCCCCGCCGATCATATTTTTTCCTTTCATTCAAATCAAATTTAAATTTGAACAAGGCAATGTCTCCTGTCCAAAATATAGAGAGAGAAAGAGAGATCATGGAAGACACATCGGCATGTCTATTTTGATCAAAGGGATCCCTGGGGGGACTCAAACCCACCACTGATTTTTTCCCCTTTAATATAAATTAAATTTAAATTTGAAAAAGGTAATGTCTCCTAGGGAACTTGGATAAGTATATTTCATTTTGATCAAATGGAGTTCCGGGTGGTACACACACACCAACTGATTTTTTTCCCCTTCAATTTAAATTAAATTTAAATTTGAACAAAGGAATGACTCCTATCCAAAATATAGAAGGAGAAAGCCAGAAGATGGAGGTCACATCGGCAAGATCAAGATGAGGCAATATGGACGTCAAGTTGAGCAAGAAATCACCAATCAGTTGGTAGTGACTTACAATACATATTTGTTGCGACAATTCAACTGTCATATCAATGTTGAAATCTGCTCATCAATTCATTCAATCAAGTATTGCATCAAATATATATCAAAGGGGTCAGATCAAGCAGATTTGCACCCCACCACTGATTTTTTTTCTCTTTGATTTAAATTTTAATTTGAACACGGGAACTACACCTATCCAAAATATAGAAGGAGAAAGCCAGAAGATGAAGGTCATATTGGCAAGATCATTGTGTAATATTGAAATGCATCATTTTTCTCCACAAATTATAACTATGAATTGAAATAAGTCATCATTTTCTTACTAAAATGTGTGACACGCAGCAAGGCGCTGGTAATTCGGCTAGTATATATATATATATATATATATATATATATATATGTATATATATATATATATATATATACCGGATGCAACAATAAAATTGTCCAAATCGTTGAAACGATGATCTCTTTTGCTGTTGTGACCTCCTGGTCCAGTTTCCCACTCTACTGTTTCCTCTTTTTTAAACTTATTCACCATTCCCGTTATGGTTCTTGAATGGATTTTGGAGATGGAAGCCAGAGTATGAATGTTGGTACTATTACTCAAGACTTGAATGATATTTCTCTGTTGGGATATTTCTCTGATTTTAAATATTAGTGGAAATTTCTATGTTCCATATTTTTACTAAACTTAAATTCTTATTTTCTGCATAGTGTTTTCAATAGTAGATATAATTAAAAACTTTATTAAAAAATGGAGCAGCTTCCTATCCAGTACCATCTAGATAAAAGAAGAAATTCAAATTGTATACCAAACCACTATAAAATCAGCAGGTAACGAAGAACAATATGCACAAGAGCAACTGAAGGAGTCTGAAACTACGCACACAAAACATCCTTTACAAATAGTAAATACGCGAACAGTACAGCCCTTTCTAAATATATATGTGGAATTAAAAAAAAAAATTACACCAAAATATGAAGAAGAACAGTATCAGCCTACAACAGTAAATTCCAGAATTGTAAATTTTGTCTGGATGAGAAAATAGATATAATCATCTTCCAACACCAACACAAATTATTAAATAAACGATCAGAACTCATTTCAAAATCCAGACTCGAAAACAATTTTTTTTTATTACTTTACTTAAAAATCGAAAACTAAAAAAGAAAAGCTTGTAAAAACATCATGAAAAATATATTCCATAAAATAAGTGCTCTTGGGTAACAAGTTGTTTGAATGAAATTATATTTCCTTTTAGAATACGCAGGAAATGAGTGTGATTTGAACCCGTGGTCGTAGCATAGCGTGTGACAGCTGAAAATTGTCTGCACTAGTGGAATTATAAAATGGAGCGTATCTAAATATTTGCAGTAGAAATGAGCGTAGATTGGCTATAGTAGAAAGGTTAGGATTAGGATTAGGATTAGTATAGTAGGAGGTATGAGGTTCGGGTTGAGCTTGAAAAACCACATTTGTGCAGCGAGTGAATCAAAATACCAACCAGCATTCATTATTGGTGGCCACAATCTTAATGGCATAAGATATACAGATGACATAGTGTTGGTAGCAGACAGAGAAAGGAAACTACAAGAACTCCTACTGAAGATAGTTAAGGAAAGCGAGAAAAAAACGATGAAAGAGCAATTGCAAGAAGACAGAATATAAGGTTGTTAGAAACAGCTTAACATGCAAATTACAAATTGGAAAATACCAAAATCAAATAAGTAAATGAAAATATCTGTGAAGTGTTTTGACGGAAGACGGAAGGTTCGATATTGAAATTGCAACTCCGAAATCCGAAAGTGCATTGGGATAGGAAAATGCCTTCCAAAATCTAAGCAATGTATCAGAGAAATTTCGTTAGACAGAAAAAAAAAAGAGTAGTGAATTGTTATGTAATATCGGTCCCCGGATATGGCTGTGAATGTTGGACAGTTTCTTCAAAGATAAAGAAGAGATTTGAAGCAACAGAAAACTGGTTCTGCAGAAGGAGTCGAAGAAGGATTGGAAGAAGAACATGGATGGAACAACGACGAAGTGTTAGAAAAATCGGAAACAAAATGGACAGTTATACTTAAAATCAGGAGGAGACAGTTGAGATTTTTAGTGAACCTGATGAGTAATGAAGCCTTGGAAAATTTGATTCTCACAGGAAAGATTGAAGCCCAGAGGGAGAGAGGAAAAACAACGCTTAACTTAGCTAGCGAGCTTGAGTAAATGGATGGCGGAACAACCTTTAGAAGAGATAGCAAAAAGAAATATTTAATAAAAGATACAAAGGATAGAAAATTGTGGAAAACTATGATCGTCTACATCTTGGGGGTGAACACGGGACATTAACACTGGTGAAACTGCAGAATGGCACGAAATGAAGCGATGAATATAATCGGGAACGAGAAAGCAGCCAATATATATATGTATATATATATAGTGGCTGCTCCTGCTCTTAACGCATTGTTTTTCAGTTATGAATTTAGCGGTATTGACTATTGGCGTTTGTATACATCACGTATATAATACGTTAAAAATTTTCCTTTTTCTGCCGTGAGCTGATAGCTTAGGGATAGTATTGTAGACTCGTCCAATTTTCCTTACCTTCCAACCCTAACAAAAGCACAGTCCACATCTTACGCCTACGTACCTAAAAACTTCAACCAATCAAGACTGCACGAAACGAAGCAAACAATCTCATTGGTTCATCACTTGAAGTTCACGTGCAAAATAGAAATTGCGGCAACACTCAAGTGAGCCACCTTTGGAATTTCAGACCGTATAAAAATAAACGAAGACAGCCCCAGGCAGTCAGTAACACGCATTCACAGAGGACTTTCTAAAATACTCCACGTCACTACGAATCAGAATTTTGCCGCGCAAAAAGACACATCGCTGACTCATATTCAATCAAGCATTAATCAACTCTGTGTACACCATTTATCAACTTTGCTTATGTAAAGTGAATTAAATTCACTACTTAATTAAGTAAACACTAACGAACGAACGACATTACAAAAACACCAACTACAGTTAAAGGTAGATCACTCTTAGAAAACATCTTTCTAAAAGACACTTATTATTAACAATTGTAAATATCGACACAAACAAAAAGACTGCAAATCAACGA